AATCGAAAACTCAGAAATTTTTGAAATAGGAATTTTGCAAAATTTAAAATTGAGAAATTAAAAATCGGGAAAAGTTGAATAATCGAAAAATCAGAATTAAATACTTTTTCGAAATGTTTAAAACTTTGATCGAAATATTATAATAATATTAAAATAAAAAATTTAAAAATCATAAAAATAAAAGAATCAAAAAACTGAAATACGGAAAATTAAAAATTTTTAAAAATTGTGTTTAGCAATCAAAAAACTTAGAAACTGGGACGTTGAGTTGGTAATTTGAAAACTGAAAAATGGGAAATTGTGCGAATAAATTTGAAAATTTGGAACAATGAAAAATCGACAAATCGAAAAACTGACTCATTGAAGAAATGAAAAATCAAAAGGTTTTCGAAATATGGAAACTCAAAAATTGCAAAATTGTAAACCTGAAAAATCGAAAAATTGGAAAAATGAAAAATGAGGAAATCGAAAGTCATAAAAATAAAAAATCAAAAAACTGAAATACGGAAATTTCAAAAATTAAAAAAAAGTTTGGCAATCAAAAAAATTAAAGAATCGGAAACTTAAAAAATTAAGATATTAAAAAACTTAATATAGAAAATTGGCATTGGATTGAAAAAATCAAAAATAAGAAAATGGCAAAATTGTAAAACTAAAAAATCGAAAAAGCAGAAATTGAACGGTTTTCGAAATACTTGGAAATTTTGCAAAATTGTAAAATTGAGAAATTAAAAATAGAAAAATTGGAAAAATGGAATCGAAAATTATAAAATCCAAAAAAATCAAAAATTGAGAAATCGGAAAATTGACTCACAGACAAAATGAAAATTCGGGAAACAAAAAAGTTGAACAATCCAATAACTAGATAATCGATAAATTGAAATTCAAGTGATCGAAAAATTAAAAATAGGAAAACTGAAAAATTGAGAAATCGGAAAATTGACTCATGGAAAAAACGAAAATTGGCATTGGAATCAAAAAATCAAAAATGGGAAAAAGGCAAAATTGTACAACTAAAAAATCGAAAAAACAGAAATTGAGCGGTTTTCGAAATACTTGGAAATTTTGCAAAATTTGTAAAATTGAGAAATTAAAAATTGAAAAATTGGAAAAATGGAATCGGAATTATAAAAACCAAAAAAAATCAGAAATTGAGAAATCGGAAAATTGACTCATAGACAAAACGAAAATTCGGGAAACAAAAAAGTTAAACAATCGAATAACATGATAATCGATAAATTGAAATTCAAGTGATCGAAAAATAAAAAAATCGAAAAATCAAAATAAAAAATTCAAAAACTGAAATAGGGAGAATTCTATAAAAAAAAAAAAAAACGAAAAATTGAAAAGCTAAACAATCGCAAAATTGAGAAATCGAAAAACTGAAAAATCTAAATTGAAAAATCAACAAATCGAAAAATCAGAAACCGAACGATTTCGAAATTCCTGAAATTTTGCAAAATTGGAAAGCTGAAAAATTGATAAGTTCAAAAAATAAAAAATCGAGAAATCGAAATCGAAAATGAAACTGAAAATTATAGAAATTAAAAATGGAAAAATTTACTCATCAAGAAACGAAAAATCGAGAAATATAAAAGTTTAACGATAGAATAATTTGATAATCAGCATATTGAAAAATTGACTTTCAAAAAAATGAAAGAATCGAAAAATTAAAAACTTGGCAGACTATGAATTTCTGAAATTGGGAAATTCAGAAGTTAAGAAACTGAAAATTTGAAAACTCGGAAAAATGAAAATTGAAAAATCCAAATTGAGAAATAGACAATCGCAAAATCGGAAAATTGGATCCAGAAGAATCAAAATATCAAAAATGAAAAATCGAACAATCAGGAAACAAAAAAATTGCACAATTGAATAATTGGAAAATTCACAAATTGAAAATTTTTTTTTAATAAAAACAAAGAATCAAAAAATTAAAAAATAAAAAATTCAATAGTTTTCGAAATATTTATGTATTTGAAATTTTAATCGAAACATTGAAAGATTAAGAACTGGCAAAAATGAAAAGATGATAAATCGAGAAAACGAACAATTGAAAAAACGAAAAACTGAAACATCTAAATTGAAAAATCGACTAACCGAAAAATCAGAAATTGAACAGTTTTCGAAATTCTAGAAATTTTGCAAAATTGGAAAGTTGGAAAAACGAAAAATCGAGAACGAAAATGAAAACTGTAGAAATTAAAAAACGAATAATTGGATAAAATCGGCATATTGAAAACTCGAATAAAAAAATGAAAGAATCCAAAAATTAAAATTCGAAAAGTCAGGAATTGTATGGTTTTCGAAAAATTCCAAAAGAATTTCTGGATGTGGGAAACTCACAAGTTAAGACACTGAAAACTTGATAAACCGGAAAAATGAAAACTGAAAAATTAACAATCGGGAAACTGAAAATCTAAATTGAGAGATGGACTCAACGAAAAATGAGAAATTGAACGATTTTTTAAATTCTTGAAATTTTGCAAAATTGGAAAGCCGAAAAATTCACAAATTCGAAAAATAAAATATCGAGAAATCGAATAATTTGATAATCAACATATTGAAAAATGGATACAGAAATATCAAAATATCAAAAAATGAAAAATTGAATAATCGGGAAATAAAAAGTTGCACACTTGAATAATTGGAAAATTCACAAATTGAAAAATTTTAAAAACAAAGAATCGAAAAATTAAATAATCAAAAATTCAATGGTTTTCGAAATATTAGGAAATTTTATTTATTTATTAGGAATTATTTGAAATTTTAGTCGAAACATTGAAAGATTAACAACTGCGAAATTGGGAAATTGAGAAACCGGAAAAATGAAAAAATCAAAAATCGAAGAATCGAAAAAACAAAAAATTAAAATAAAAAATCAAAAAAATCGAAATAGGGAAATACGAAAATTTCAAAAAAGCAAAAATCGAAAAATTGAATAATCGAAAAATGAAAACATCAAAATTGAAAAATCGACTAACCGAAAAATCAGAAATTGAAGTTCTCGAATTTCTCGAAATTTTGCAAAATTGGAAAGTTCGAAAAATAAAAAATCGAGAGCGAAAATGAAATCGAAAATTAAAAAAATTAAAAAATCGAAAAGCTGAAATACTTCGAAATTTTGCAAAATTGTAAAATTTAATTTGTCGATAAATTAAAAAACTGGGAAAATGAAATCGAAAATTAATAACATCAAAAATCAGAAATTGAAGAATCCGAAAATTGTTTCATAGAAAAAATGAAAAATCGAGAAATTCATAAAATGAAAAGTTGAAAAATCGAATAATTGGATAATTGGGCATATTGAAAAATCGAATAAAAAAAGAAAGATTCCAAAAATTAAAATTTGAAAAATCAAGAATTGTATGGTTTTCGAAAAATTCCAAATTTGGATCGAAAATTCAGGAGAGTAATACGAATTTCTGAAATTGGGAAAGTGAGTAGTTAAGAACTGAAAACTTGAAAAATCGGAAAAATGAAAATTGAAAAATCGAGAAAACCGGAAATTGAAAAATTAAAAAGTTAACAATCGAAAAACTGAAAATCTAAGTTAAGAAACTGGGAAATTGAGGACTTGAAAATTTGAAAAATTGAGAAATTAAAATAAAAAATCAAAAAATCGAAAATACGGAAAATTAAAAAAAGCAAAAGTCAAAAAATTGGACAATCGAAAAGTTGAAAAATCTAAATTAAAAATCGACTATTCGAAAAATCAAAATTGAGGGGTTTTAGAAATTCCAGAAAAATTTTGCAAAATTGTTAAGTTGAAAAATAAAAGTTGTAAAAATGAAATCTCAAAAAAGTTGAACAATATAAAACGAAATCGAAATCGAAAAATTGACTCATGGAAAAAATTAAATAGGAAAGTTAAACAATCGATTAACTGGATGATCGACAAATTGAAAAATCGAAAAATCAAAATTTGCTTTTTTTTCGAAACTTTTAAAATTTTGATTGAAACTTTGAGAGATTAAGAAACTACGAAATTGAGAAGTTGAGAAATAAAAAAATCGGAAAAATTATAATAAAAGTTTAAAAAACCGAAATAGGGAAAATTCTAAGAATTAAAAATCGAATAATCGAAAAACTGAAAAATTCAAATTGAAAAACCGAAAAATCAGTAATTGAAAGGTGTTCGAAATTATCGGAAATTTCCCAAAATTGGAAAGTTGAAAAATCGAAAAGTTCGAAAATTAACAATTTAGAAATTAAAAATAAAACTGAAAATTTTAGAAATTAAGAAATCGAATAAGGTCATAATTGGCATATTGAAAAATGACTAAAAAAATTTGAAAGAATGTGGAGATCAAAAATTCGAGAAACCGAGAGGAAAATCGACTAATCAAAAATTCAGAAATTGAGCGGTTTTAGAAATCCTCCAAATTTTGCAAAATCGTAAAGTTGTAAAAATGAAAAATCGAGAAATCGAAAATTAAGAATCTGCGAAATTTGGAAATTGAAAACTTGAAAAATCGTAAAAATGAAAAATTGAGAAATCAAAAAATCGGAAAATTATTGAAAAATCGAGAAATTGAAACGATCAAAGACAAATCTTGATCCCAAAGTGGCGTAGAATTTTTTAAATTATTAAAGTCCAATTTAAGGCTTTGGAAACAAATGATGAGAAAGACGTAGGGCGTGGTTTAATTAGTTTAACCTCAAATTCTCCCAATAATAGTGACATCTATATAAAAAACAATTGAACTACACCCTACGTCTTTAGCCATCTTTTGTTTTCGGCGTCTTCGTCAAATTTTAAAAAATCATACGTAGAATAACAACGCCCCAAAAATATTTTCAAACAAAAATCAAGAAACTCGTAGTAGTAGTTGCAAATTATTACTAATTTTTAATCAAAGTAACAGTAAAATCGTTTTTTTTTTTGTGTATAAAAGAGAAAATGGAGGAACTACCTCACAACCTTCTAGATATGATAAAGTGTCAACGCATGCGCAAATTTCGCTTTCGGAGTGTCATTCGTAACCCCGCCAACTCACTTTATGATGTCCCCCGTGGTGATCGTTGTTGCGGTGTCCCCCCTGCCTGTGGTTCTCCCTGTCCTGATCCCTGTCGTGGTTCCTGCCGCCGCCTCCTCCGCCTCCGCCGCCGCCGCCGCCCCTGTGCTCGCCCCTCTCCCTGTGCTCCCTCGTCCCGTGTCCGCCCGGTCCTCCCGCGTCGTGGTGGTTGTCCTTGTGCGGCGGCTGCTTCCTGCTGTCCTCCTCCTCCTGGCGCTTCTCGTAGTGCACGAAGTCGTCGAATATCGACGTCGAGTGCCTGTACGAGTGCATGATCCTCAGCACCTGGAGGCCCTTCGCGTGCGGCACCTCCTGCGTGTCCCTGCTGTTCGTCACCGGCTTGTTCTCGTTGTTCTCTAAGCGGATGTGCCGCAGCTGCACGTTCGGAACGTCCTTAACGTAGATCCAGCGCACTTTGAACTGGCCCTTCCACTTGTCCTGCGACCACACCGAGCTGTTCGCGTTGTAATCGACTGCGGACACCATCTGGGCCATGCCGCAGAAGTGGCCCGAACCGTTCACTGAGAAGAACAAGTACACCGCACCGTTGCCCTCGCGCTCGCGGTACGCCTGGTCGAGTCTCTTGTTGCCGTGCTCGGTGCTGCACCATATCTCGTACTTTATGCTCCGGTGGATGTCGTCCTCGGAGTACGACTTTATCACGAAGAAGCGCGCGTTCGGGGCGGTCAGGTCGAACTCGCCCGGGTTGTAGTTGTTCTTGCCGCGCAGCTCGTCCAAGACGGGGTGGGTGGGCGCCGCCGCCGTCACCATCATGGGCATGGGGCCGCCGGGGGCGGGCATGAGACCCTGCAAACAACAACGCAAAAACATAACGATCATCTGTTACAAATCATTTTTTTTTTAATTAAATTCGTGACATTACATTAATTATAGAAGTTGTAAAATTAAACATGTATTTTTTTTTAAGTATTTTTTGGATTTTTCCATACACTACAATTCTTAGTTCTTATTTGTTCCATATACATTTTCATCTGATTTTTTAAATTTTAACACAAAAATATGAATAAATATAATTTTAATAAAAATTTGTGAGAATTATAATTTTTATCTGACAGTTTATACAACTGTTTTATGATACAAAAATTGAATATTATGAACCAGTGAATATTCTTAAAATTTTCATGCTATAACAGAAAAATTAAAGTTAAGAACCATCCCTTCTACCAAAGTAAAATCTTTAAATTACAAAAGAGAAAGACAAATTCATACGTTATCTACGAGAACAGAGCGGGTGGGTGGGCGGGGCTAATTCCTACTAAAATAAGGCTGATTTTGGCAAATAATATACCCTCCAAGAAACTATAGGGCGGGTGGGCGGGGCTAGTACCTACTAAAATAAAGCTGATTTTGGTAAATGAAATACCCTCTAAGAAAAGAGAAGGTGGTGCTAGTCTCTGTTCTATAGTCCTCAACAACGTGTCATAGAGTTGGTACGTCATTTTTTCAGGACCAAAAGTGATATTTTAAGGTAAAATTAGAGAGTAAGCAGTATTGAGTCAAAAAACATTACTTTTAACATTTTTTTTTATAATTTTTGTTTCGAATTTTAAGTGTTGATGTACAATGTTGTAAAGTGTATATGGAACAAATAAGCACTGAGTCAAGGAGTGTCCTATTATTTAGAACAAATTTCAGTGTCGCAATAGAACATTCTAGAATGCTGAATGGACAATATACAGGGTGTTTACTAAGCATGCGGCAAAAATTCCTGGGGTTATTCCTTGGACTATTCAGGATCTTTTTGTCCTTGGATGATTTTTGGAAAAACGGTTTGTTTTGAGTTAGTGCGACATTTTTTAATCATCCTGTATATCCAATCTGCCCACTGAATCCGATTTCTCAGATCCTAATTTTCTAATGTTTGCAAATGAACCCATAAATAAAAATCCAAAGGATTTAAGTCTGGGGTTTGAGTAGTTTTACTTTTATCACCTCGTATTTTCGAAACAAAGCGTTTTTCTGAAAATCATTCCAGGACAATTTTTTTAAATAAATCAAGGAATTATCCCCTAAACTTTTACCGCATGTTTAGTCAACACTCTGTATATATAAATGAAATTTTTTTTTAATGTGTTGTATTACTTTAGCAACTTTTAATATCCTGCAAATTATGCAACCAATTAAACGTTTACGAAAAAGAATTATTTACGGTAATTAATGTCAAATACAAAATATATTGTCACTGAATTGTACCACATACGTCACTTTTAACACGCAATCCGTTTTATAGATGGCGTCCTAGTAGTCAAAGATGGTAGCGTTCGCGTTTTTCTGGTTATAACGAGTGATCAAAAAGTTTTTAGATTAGAGTTGGCCATGGAAATGTTTGCCCTGTCTTTGATTAAAATGCAAATGTCAAAAACTCAAATGATTGAAATGCAAATGAGGCTATGCATGACATTTGCAGTTTAATCAAAAACATAACAAATATTTCCACGGCCAACTCTAATCTAAAAACTTTTTAATCGCCCGTTATATTTGTTGACTTGGTTTTTTTTTATCACATAGTTGAACAAGCAGTGAAGTTTTAAAGCAGAAATAATTTTGACATATTTTTTCGCTTCAATTTTGGCGTATTGGTCTGATTACCAAAGCGAAACTTTCAAATTAAAAAAAAAACTGATAATACTGCAATACTTATCTGAATGCGGCTAGTGTCATCTAAGGTAATTTTCAATGGTTCTATTCATCGATTTTCATTTATTTGGACAAAAATCAGTACATATAGAAATACTAGATATATATACTTAGCGAGGTCGAAATCGGCACAGAAAGTCATTAGATAATTTTCAAATGTGCTCGGGAAAATGTCGAAAATTTCAATATTTTGAAAAATTGAGCTTTTGCCGAACTTGCCTAAAAATCCACAAAAAATTCTAAAATATAGATCTTGACAAGACGATCCGAAAAAGAGCTTGTTGATGCTTCCGGACCCCGATTTTCGAAAGATTTTGTTTTAAAGTCGACTTCTAAAATATCGTGAATATTAAAATCTCTCAATTTAGCAATTCCGGGAAAATGGTAGTTATTTCCTGAAAACTGAAGTCGAAATCAACGAAAAAAGTCATTCGACAATTTTCAAAAGTGCTCTGGAAGAGGTGGAAAATTTGAAGATCTTGAAAAACTAACTTTCGGGAATTTGCCTAAAAATCCACAAAAATTCTAAAATATAGATATCGACAAGCTGAATCGAAAAATGTAACCTGTCAATTGTCCCACAGCAAGATTTTCAAAATATTCGGTTTTAATGTAACATTTTTAAAATTTCCAAAAAATTGCCGTACCTCATTTTGATAAGTCCGGGAAAATGGTAGGAATTTTCCAAAAGAATGAAGCCGAAAAACACTTCCAGAGGTCGAAATCAGTAACAGAGTGTCATTAGATAATTTTAAAAAATTCTGAGAAAAATGTCAAAAATTTCAATATTTTGAAAAATCGAACTTTTGCCGAATTTACGTATTCTGTTTTCAAGTCAATTTCTAAAATATCTTTAATATTAAAATCTCTCATTTTGGAAATTTTGAGAAAATTTTGGCAAAATATAGAATAATAATAATATACATAATATTCTTTTATCAACACGATTCCCAAAAATATGTTTTTAATTTCTCGTAGAGAAATAAAGATTTTGCAGTTAAGCTCCACCCCCTTGGTTCACGGCGAATAAAAAAAAATCATCACAATTGAGATTGGGTGGGTGGGCGGGGCCACATGCTGCCTTTTTTTCTTAATATGTGTAGACTTATTTCGAAAACAAGAAACTTAAAACATGTCTAAAATGGTAAATTTTTGCAAGGAAATATGGATTTTGCAATTATGAGGCGGAGCCTAATGTCTATCCCCCACCCCACCTATTTTTTGAATTTCATTGGGTTATTTTATTTACTCTGAGATGAACATTGAACTGTATTTTATCAAGACGTTGAATTTACGTTTTAAAAAAAAAACTTCAAGTAGGCCGCGCCCACCCACCCTGTTTTCTTTTTGATCACTGATTTGATTGGATGATGAGTGGATTTTTTATTGACAAATAATAGAAAAATAGACAAAAAGCTAAAACTACGCCTTTGAATTTCATTGACTTATTTTATTGACTCTTCGATAAATATTGAATTTTATTTTGTCAAGTGGTCAAATTTACAGTTAAAAAAACTTCAAATAAGGCCCGCCCATCCACTCTATTTTCTCTTAGACCACTCACTTTTATATTTTATCTTGACAAACAATAGAAAAATTGACAAAAACGTAAAACTAACCCCACCCACTTCCGCTTTTGAATTTCATTGGCCTATTTTATTTGCTCTTAGATGAAGATTGAATTTTATTTTGTCAAGTGGCCGAAACTACGCTTAATAAAAAAATTCAAAAAGGCCCCGCCCAGCCACCCTGTTTTCTTTTTGATCACTAATTTTATTGGAGGAAAAGTAGATTTAATATTAACAAACAATAGAAAAATAGACAAGAATATAAAACTAACCCCACCCACCTTCGCAAGTGAATTTTATTTTATCAAGAGGTCGAATTTACGGTTAAAAAAAACTTCAAATAGCGACTAATTTTATTTCTGTTCAGTATAAGATCATTCATTTCATTTAGATTGGAAAAAATCAATCACCGAAAAGGAGACAGGGTGGGTGGGCGGGGCTAATTATGTTCTTCTGTCGAGTGGAAATGGAAATTAATAATAGAATCTAGAATGTGAAAAAGTAAAAAAAGCGCTAATCGTAAGTTTTTTTTTTGTTAAAATCAGTGTAATCTTAGTAAGAACTAACCCCACCCGCCCACCCTCTGTTTTCTTGGAAAATATGTCATTTGCCAAACTCATTCTTATCTTAGCAAATCCTAGCCCCGCCCACCCACCCTCTATTTTCTTGGAAGGTATGTCATTTGCCAAGATCAGTCTTATCTTAGCAAGTACTAACTCCACCCACTCGTGCTGTTGTCATTCTTCTGATTTTATTCTTGTTCAATATAAGATTAATAATTTTATTCAGATTGGAATAAAATCAATCACCGAAAAGGAGACAAGAAAAAAAAATTGACAAAAAAAAAGGTATAACTAACGCCAACTACCTCCGGTATTAAATTTCATTGGCTTATTTCATTTACTCTTAATAAATAAATTCAAAAAGACCCCGCCCACCCACCCTGTTTTTTTTAATCACTGATTTTATTGGCCGAAAAGTAGATTTCATATTAACAAACAATAGAAAACGAGACAAGAATATAAAACTAAACCCACCCACCTCCACCTTTGAATTTCATTGGCCTATTTTATTTACTCTTAGATAAAGATTGAATTTTATTTTTTCAAGTGGCCGAATTTACGCTTAATAAATAAATTCACAGAGGCCCCGCCCGCCCACCCTATTTTTGTTAAATCATAGATTTTATTGGGCGAAAGGTGGATTTTAAATTAACAAACAATAGAAAAATTGACAAAAATATAAAACTAGCTCCACCCACCTCCGCTTTTGAATTTCATTGGCTTATGTAATTTCCTCTGAGAAGATTAAATTTTGTTTTATCAAGAGGTCGAATTAACACTTGAAAAAACTTCAAATAAGCCCCGCCCACCCACCCTGTTTTATTTTTGATGACTCATTTCATTGGACGATAAGTGGATTTTCAATTGACAAACAATAGAAAAATGGACAAAAATATAAAACTAACCCCACCCAACTCCGCCTTTGAATTTCATTGGCTTATTTATTTTATTTTTTTTTTTATTTTATTAATTACGTCCCCCAACAGGCACTGAGGCCCAATTACAGGGGAACGGGACATACACGTTACACCCAGAGCCATGGCGGGAATCGAACCCACGACCCAAGGTGTAGCGGGCAAGCATGATGCTAACTAGCCCACCCCGGGTCCTCACTAGCCCACCCCGGGTCCTTATGTAATTTCCTCTAAGAAGATTAAGTTTTATTTTATCAAGAAGTCCAATTAACACTTAAAAAACCTTCAAATAAGCCCCGCCCACCCACCCTGTTTTAATTTTTGATCACTCGCTTTATAGACAAAAAATTTTTGGAAATTACAAAAAAAATGTCTTCAACTAATTATCTGAAATAGTTGAAAAATAGTTGAAAATGTCAAAAGTGCGAAAATCAGTTTTATCTTAGCAGATACTAGCCCCGCCCACCCACCCTCTATTTTCTTGGAAGGTATGTGATTTGCCAAAATCAGTATTATCTTAGCAAGTAGTATTTAATTATTGTTTAATAATTTATTTTGCCATTTCAATATACAATATAGTACTTGCTAAGATAATACTGATTTTGGCAAATCACATACCTTCCAAGAAACTAGAGGGCGGGTGGGCGGGGCTAGTACTTGCTAAGGTAAGACTAACGGTGGCAAATGACATATCCTACAAGGTAAGAGAGGGCGGGTGGGCGGGGCTAGTATTTGCTAAGAAAAAAACTGATTTCAGTAAAAAACATCCCTAAGAAAATACAGGGTGGCTGGGTGGGGCTAGTACTTGCTTAAATAAGGCAATTTTTGGCAAACGACATACTCTTTAAGAGAATGGAGGGTGAGTGGGTGGGCGGGGCTAGTATTTCATAAGGTAAATTTGCGCTTAGTATTCTATAAAACTAGAAAGTCAATGTTTTCCTCTCAAATAAAGCCATTTGGAACGGTTTTAGAATTTTTTGGAAATGTTGGGAATTTTTGGACTCCTTTTCTCGCATTTCTCAGTTATTTGAAGAGAAATCGTGAAAAATATTTTAGATTCGTAATCTGCGAAAAATTATCTATAAGCCAACTATTTTCCGTTGGATCAGATCGTCTTTTAACTGTTTCGGATAAAAAATTTTTGGAAATTACAAAAAAATGTCTTCAACTAATTTTCTGAAATAGTTGAAAAATAGTTGAAAATGTCAAAACTGCGAAAATCAGTTTTATCTTAGCAGATACTAGCCCCGCCCACCCACCCTCTATTTTCTTGGAAGGTATGAGATTTGCCAAAATCAGTATTATCTTAGCAAGTAGTATTTAATTATTGTTTAATCATTTATTTTGCCGCTTCAATATACAATATAGTACTTGCTAAGATAATACTGATTTTGGCAAATCACATACCTTCCAAGAAACTAGAGGGCGGGTGGGCGGGGCTAGGACTTGCTAAGGTAAGACTAACGGTGGCAAATGACATATCCTACAAGGTAAGAGAGGGCGGGTGGGCGGGGCTAGTGTTTGCTAACAAAAAAACTGATTTTAGTAAATAACATATTCCTAAGAAAATAGAGGGTGGGTGGGTGTGATTCGAGCAACGGTGAAACCAGTTATTGATAATATTTGTTTGGAACAAACAGACTGGTTGAAGAAAATAACGATCTGTAACTAACCCACCAGCAGAAAAGTTTTAAAATTATGAATATGTACCTTCCTTTTTGTTAAATAATTTTCGTTTTGTAAAAATATATCTATCTTATTTCAAAACTAAATAATATGAGTAATATCATTAATGTTCTTGTGCCATTATCTACACTTTCAGAAAAACGTGATATTTTAAAACGTCATTTTGACAATTATTTGCCAACCAAGTTCATAATTGCACTCAACAGATGTCGTTGCCTGATTAACGATTCTGGAAACGTCAAAGAATCAACTTTTTATACGAATTGGGATGGCCATATGTATTAATACAGTTGGCCGTGATACTATCAACAAAATCGTCCTCTAGTGGATTTCTTCCGCACTAATAAAATATTGACCTACGAAAGCGCTGAAAAATTGATTTCAACAAACGAGTAAAACCCGCTGAAACTGCTGAAACGCTCCTTTCAGAATTTATATCACGTACGTCTTCACAGATAAAATACATCGATGTTTGTGGCGCCATCTACGTATAAATTCACCTTTTTTTGTGTGTGAATTAGCTGAAAATTAGATAGGCAACCAACATTACACATCATCGTTTCCACTCATACAATCGCAGCCAGCCATGAAACCAAACGTCACTTTCGCATCTGTCAAATCTGACATTTTTGATTGACCTAGTGTATCCTTACCGTGTGCATGTTCGGCATGCTGACCGGCGGCGGCAGGTGCGGCTGCATCATCGCCGGCGGCTGGTACGACTGCATCGGGTGCTGCGGCGGTCCGGGCCTCGGCGCTGCCGGCGGCGCCGGCCTCGTCGTCGGCGGTCCGTTCCAGCCGGGCCTGACGCTCATCGCGGCCGCCGCCGCCGCCGCCGCTGGCGCTATGCTCTTCGCCGTGCTGTTGACGATCGGCAGCTGCGGCGGCGTGCTCTTGTTCGTGTCCCACGTGCCGATGTCCATGTTGTGCTTGCCGGGCACGATCGGCCCCGGCGGCATCCCGGGGCCCTTCTTCTTCAGTCCCTGGTTCTGCACGGTCAGCTGGGGTTTGGCCGGCTGGCTGGCGATGCTCGCCCACGTCGTCTTCTTCGCCTGGCCGAGGGGCTCCTTAGACGAGTCCGACGACGACTTTATGTCTGCGGAACGTTAAAGAAGAGTTGGTCTCTGATGAATTATTACTATTTTTATGGGGTAATTAACGAGAGCGTGCCGACGATGATGATGATGATGATAATTATTGTTGGTGTGTGGTGCGATGTTGTGAACGTCGCGCGGACATAAATAATCTTTTAATCGAGACAATTTGGACGGCAGCTGTGGACGACAATTTCGCGTGGAAGACATAAATCAATCGATTAGGATCGTTTGAGATCTTTGAGGAGGGCGGGAAGGTAGTTGAATTGGGACGGCTGGAAATGGGGACTGTGAATGCGAAATTACGTCTTTTTTTTGTGACTAAAAAATACAAATTTTGAACACCAACAACTATTTACTTAAAATTTAAATATTTAGAATAATGGATACATTACCCACCGTATTTTGCTTAATGACAATAATGATAATAATTCGAAAATTAAAAAGAAAATGAGTGTCAATAATTCATTCAAATGTGTTTTAAAAACCCTACTATCACGCGGCCGACGAATGATTATGCTCTACGTCGGGAACGAAAATGGATGGGTTAATGACGCTCTATTAATTTCGGTTAAAAATATCAAAACCGTAAAAAATCACGTGAATGTGATTACACTGATTACGGTTGCGTCCGAGCAGTGGTTTGACAGACTATTTTTTGCCCTAATTGTACACGTTCTTGGTTACTTTATTGTTTTTTTTTTCTTCATTGACTACATAATAATAATAATTTAGGAATATTACATAATTAGTTCTTACTTTATCAAATGACACACCCCATAAGAACATAGAGGCCGGGTGGGCGGGGCTAGTATTTGCTGAGGTAAGACTGAACAACATTAAGAGTAGGCACTGGAATGAAGAGGGGGTAGGTGGGCGGGGCTACTACTTGCTTATAAGATTCTATAAGAAAAAGGTAAACTCAGCCCCGCCCACCTTTTTCTCTATTTCACTATTTTCTCTATTTACTTTAAAATGGGAACTGAATTCTATTTTGCCAGAAGAGTAAAATTTAAGATTTAAAACATTGTAAAATGTGTCTTTCTAATGACATTTTTTATTTTTTATTGTTTCAGAAATCCATGTAAACAGCCGTTTTGACACAACTTCGACAGAACCTCCCTTACCGTTGAAGTGCAGCCAAAAAAATCCGACTTTTTGAATTTTTAGATTTTGCAATTTTTCCATTTTTAAATTTTTTATTTCTTCGATTTATAGATTTTGCAATTTTTGTATTTATAATATCTCGAGTTTTCAATTTTTCGTTTTTCAATGTTCGGAGTTTCTATTATTTTCTATTTTTTCAATTTTTCGGATTTTCAAGGTTCTCATTTTATAACTTTTCTTTTCTTCAGTGTGAAATTTTTCAGTTTTTGGATTTTGCAATTTTTGGGATTTCGTTTCACAATTTTAGATTTGCATTTTTTCTGGCTTTCATTTAAATACGTAACGATAATTAAAAAAAAAATTACTTTTACGATTTTTAATTGCGAAATCGAAATGTTGTAAAATCGAAAAATCCAAAATTTAAAAAGCCGAATTAGAAAATGAAAAACTGAAAAATTACAAAACAGAAGGGGCAAAAAAATTACGAAATAAACCTTGAACAATCGAAAAACAGTGAAATTACAAGATCAAAACATGGAAAAATTGAAAAATTCAGAAATCGAAATAGCCAAAAACCGAAAAATCCAAATTCGAATAGTTGGAAAAATCGAAAAACTGGAGCAATTTAAACACCGAAAATTTAAAAATCTAAAATTTTAAAATTCTTAACATTAAGAAATCAAAAACTTAAAACTCAATAAACCAAAATATTTAAAACATCGAAAATCAAATTGTCAAGAAATCGAAAAACTTAAAAAACGAAAAATGTAAAATAGAATAAAAGAAGAACTTAAAAATCAAAAATCTAAAAATCTGAAAAATTCAAATATCGAGTATTCGAAATTTTTTAAAAAAGTGAAACATTAAAATATTGAAAAAGTGTAGACTCGAAAAATGAAAAATCGAGAAACTGAAACATCAAAAAATCAGGAAACTGAATCGATAAACTGAAAAATCAAGAAATTGAAATAATTCCAAAACAGAAAGGACGAAAAATTGGGAAATCGAAAAATTGAAAAATCGAAACATCGAAAAATTGGAAAATTGAAAAGCTGGAAAGTCGAAAAATCGAAAAACCGAGAAATCAAAATATGGAAACATGGAAAAATTGGGAAACTGAACAACCGAAAGATAGAAATCTCGATAAATTGAGAACTATAAAAATTGAAAAAACGGTTTTTTGACTTTTTCCAGTTTTTTCCAATTTTTTAGTTTTTCGATTTTTCAACTATCCCAATCAAAAAAAAAAAAATGGAAAAATGGAAAAATTGTAACATTAATTTGTTGATTTTTCAACTTTAAAATTTTTCAGTTTCTGAATTTTTCAAGTTTTCACTTCTTCAATTTTTTAATTTGTAATTTTTCGTTTGAGTTTTATTTTCTTAATTTTTTAAATTTTTCGGATTTTTAATTTTTCAATTTTTGGGTCTTCCATTTTTTTGGTTTTGGCGTTTTTTCAATGTTTGTTTTTGGTTTCTTCAGTTCTTCGGTTTGCAATTTTCAGATTTTGCATTTTTTCGATGAGTTTCTGGAGTTTTCGATTTTTAACTTCGCAGTTTTTCAAGTTTTCATCGTTTCGATTTAATAAATTTTTTTTTATTTTTTCAATTTTTAATTTTTCATTCCTTGAAATTGTCTGTTTGCAATTTTTCGTTTTGTAAACGTTCCGATTTTATAATTTTTGTTGTTCCAATTTTTCACGTCTTCAATTTTTTAATTTCCAATTTTTTAATTTTCTTAATTTTTTAAATTTTTCGGATTTTTATTGTTCTAATTTTATTTATAACTTTTCGTTTTTTCAATGTGAAATTTTTCAGTTTTTGGATTTTGCAATTTTTGGGTTTTCGTTTCACAATTTTAGATTTGCATTTTTTCTGGCTTCGAATTAGAAAATGAAAAACTGAAAAATTACAAAACAGAAGGGGCAAAAAATTAGGAAATCGAAAACTTGAAAAATCGAAAAACAGTGAAATTACAAGATCCAAATTCGAATAGTTGGCAAAATCGAAAAACTGGAGCAATTTAAACACCGAAAAATTCAAAAATCTAAAATTTTAAAATCCTTAAAAGTGAAATATCGAAAAATTGGAAAATTACCAAAACTGAAATGTTGAAAAATTAAGAAATCAAAACTTGAAAAATTGAGAAATCTAAAAATCAAAAAACCAAAAAATTTTAAAAATCAAAAACCAAGTAGTCAAGAAATCGAAAAATGTAAAATAGAATAAAAGAAGAACTGAAAAATCAAAAATCTAAAAATCTGAAAAATTGAAAAATCGAGTGTTCGAAAAATTAAAAAAAAAAAAATTAAAATGTTGAAAAAGTGCAGATTCGAAAAACTGAAAATCAAGAAATTGAACAGAAAGAACGAAAAATTGAAAAATCGAAACATCGAAAAATTGGAGAATCGAAAAGCTGGAAAGTCGAAAAATCGAAAAACAGAGAAATCAAAATATGGAAACTTCGAAAAATTGGGAAACTGAACAACCGAAAGATAGAAATCTCGATAAATTGAAAAGTATAAAAACTGAAAAAACGAAAAATTGTTTTTTAGTTTTTTAACTTTTCAATTTTTTCCGATTTTGTACTTTTTCGATTTTTCAACTGTTCGAATCAAAAAAATGGAAAAATTGTAAAACTTAATTTGTCGATTTTTTAACTTTTAGATTTTTTTTAGTTTTTCGTTTCACAATTTTAAATTTTTCAATTTCTGCATTTTTCAAGCTTCCGTTTCTTCAATTTTTTATTTGAAATTTTTCTAGCTTTCATTTTAAGCATGTACATGATAATTAAAAAAAAAAACACACTTTAACGATTTTTCAATTTTCGATTTTTAATTTTTCAATTTTTCGATCTTTCAATTTTTGGGTTTTCCAATTTTTCGCTTTCGACTTTCTTCTCCTTTCTAATTTTTCAATCCATTAATTTTTTTCGGTTTTTAAGTTCCTTGATTTGTAGTTCTTCAATGTTTGTTTTTTGTTTCTTTAGTTCTTCGATTTGCAATTTTTGGATTCTTTACTTTTTCGATTTTGCGATTTTTCGGTTTTTCAGTTTTTCGATTTTTCAATCTTTTCCAATTTTTGAGTTTTTCGATTTTTCAAGTTTTCGTTGCTTCAATTTTAAGTACATAATGATAATAAAAAAAAATCACGCATACGATTTTTCACTTCCTTCTTTTTTCTCCTTTTCTACTTTTTTCGATTTTGCAATTTTTCGTTTCTTCAGTTTTTCGATTTTTGGATCATTTCCGATTTTTTAGTAATGTTCTGTTGAAAAACAGAACTATTCGAATCAAAGCGAAGAAAAATTGCAAAATTGTAAATTTAAATTTTTCGATTTTTTAAGTTTCAGATTTTTTTTTAGTTTTTCGTTTTTCAATTTTAGATTTTTCAGCCTCCCCATTTTTCAAGTTTTCGTTTCTTCAATTTTTGATTTGTATTTTTCCTACCTTTCATTTGAAGTACATAATGATAATTAAAAAAAAAATCACTCACGATTTTTCAAATTTTGATTTTTAATTTTTCAATTTTTGATTTGTAATGTTTCAATTTCAATTTTTCGATTTTTCAATTTTTGGATTTCGCCTCTTTTAATAATAATAATAATTTTTATTGAACCAATTTTAAATAAATTAATTAAAAATTTTCTCCCTCCCAATTTTTCGATTCATAAATTTTTTGGGTTTTTTTTCAGTTTTTCGATTTTTCAACTATTCGAATAAACAAAATGGAAAAATTGCAAAATTTAATTTTTCGATTTTTCAACTTTTAGATTTTTTTTTTAGTTTTTCGTTTAATAATTTTAGATTTTTCAGTCTCTCAATATTTCAAGTTTTCGTTTTTTCAATTTTTGTAATTTCAATTTTTCTACCTTTCATTTGAAGTACATAATAATA